ACAACATTTGTGCCTGTAATGTCCTTTCTTTGTTTTTGCATATTCAGGGTCACTGGATATGAATGAATTGGGTATAATTGAGGCATGTTATGTGGGGACATAGGTGCCAGTGATGGGAGGAGACCAGGACTGGAGAGGATGGAGCTAGAGCTGAAGCTGAAAGGAGCCAGAAGTGAAAACGAGAAGGAAACAGGAGGCAGGAGGAGCACCTTTTCCAGTGCTGCCTGCCTCCAGCGGCCTGACTTCCCTGCAACTTTCTCTCCCTCCCTCCTTTGCCCTAATCCCCACCTTTGGTTACTGAGCAGGGATGGCCCTCTTTATACGATGACTTGGCACACAGCAGTTTGTCTTGTTCCCTTAACACCCTCAGTGGAATCATTGCTTCTGTCACAGTCACAGGTTGTGAGCTTTAGGATCAAATGATATATAACATAGATTCTCTGCCTGTCTTTAGGCTAGCCAAGGGGTGTAAGTGATCAATTACAGGAAAATGTTGTCGATGATAGGGAAGGGGGAAGCCTGGCATGTATCAAGAATAAGCCAGGGAACAGTTACCAGTCTTGTGGGTACAAGAGAGTTTTCCAGAAGTGCAATCTCAGACCTAAAGGGCACAGTGACAGAAAACCCAAAACAACAGTGACATACAACAGATGGTTTATTTCCCCCTCATGCAAAAGGCCAGAGGTGGCATCAGAAGTGTCATGGTGCTGCAGGGTGTCAGGCTCCTCTGTTCCCATGGTCACCTCAGAGTTCAAGATGGCTGCTTTAGTTCCAACCATCATGTTCACATTCCACCCAGCAGGGAGGAAGGAAGGGAGGGAGAAGGGCACACTCTCCTTTTAAACAAGTCTCAGAATTGCACACTTCACTTCCACTTATATCTCATTATTGGCACTTAGTCATAAAGCCGTACCCAGGGCTGGGCCACCCAATGAGCAAGGCATGTGCAGATCCAGTTGTGCCTTCCCACCAATCAGCAGTGCCCAATTTCCCTTGTCCCGCAGCACATCAAAGACATGGTGAAATTGCTCATTACAGATTAGCAAGGAAACACAATGAAGCTCATGGGGTACCTTGTTCAATGCAAGCCAGTATAACTGTGCTTATGGGTTAATCCACCCCTAGACATACCTGTTTTCAAGGGAGGCTGGGATCCCACCTACCCACTGTCATCAAGTTGATTCCGACTCATAGAGACCCTAGAAGATAGAGTAGAACACCCACAGAGTTTCCAAGGCTGTCAATCTTTAGGAAGTACCACATGATCAAGAACCGAAGGAAGAAGTCCAAGCTGCACTGAAGGCATTCATGAAAAACAAGGCTCCAGGAACTGACGGAATACCAATTGAGATGTTTCGACAAATGGATGCAACACTGGAAGTGCTCACTCATTTATGCCAAGAAATTTGGAAGACAGATACCTGGCCAACTGGTTGAAAGAGATGGACACTTCATTCCAAAGAAAGGGGCTCCAACAGAATGTGAAAATTGTCAACCAGTATCATTAAAAACACACACAACTAAAATTATGCTGAAGATAATTAAAAAACAGTTGCAGCAGAACATAAACAGGGAACGCCAAAAATTCAGAAGATGAATTCAGAAGAGGATGTGGAATGAGGGATATCATTGCTGATGTCAGATGTTGGCTGAAAACACAGTGTGGTGGTTATGTTTGTGTATCAACTTGGCTGGGCTTGGTTGAGTGGCTGGGCAGCTGGTGGTAGTTATTCCCCATGATGAGACTGGCAATCAACTCCATGGTAGGATCTACCACAAGCAGCTGAGTAGCTGCTTTGTGTATTTGGTCTGCTTCCCGTATTAAGCAGCAGCTTTGGGAATGGTCTCCAGCTTTTGGCACGCTTGGACCCTGCATGTAGCCATGTCATTGTTCAGCAGCCTGCCACACTCTGCAGACCTTGGGACTTACAATGGACTTAAATTAATGGCCTGCCATATGGTTTGGTAACATTGAGACGGTGCCCTTTTACTTGTCAACCTTGGGTTTGTCAGCCTCAGAGGCCAGCAGCTGTCTGAGTGAAGAAATGCCTCTAGCTCCAGTGGGCTGGGAGCAGGAGGCAGAGCTGGACCCCAAGGTTGAGGGGCTTTCATACAGCCCCTAGAGCCTGGCACTTTGAACTTGGACTTAAAGCCTCCAAACTGTAAGAGAATAAACACCTGTTTGTTAAGGCCATCCCATTTGTGGTATATTCTTGTCAGAGCAGCACTAGGTAACCAGAACACAGAGAATACCAGAAAGATGTTTATCTGTGTTTTATTGACTGTGCAAAGGCATTTGACCACATGGAACATAACAAATTACGGAAACCACTGTGAAGAATGGGAATTCCAGAACACTTAATTGTGCACATGAGGAACCTGTAAAAGACCAAGAGGCAGTATTTTGAACAGAACAAGGGGACACTGCATGGTTTGAAATCAGGAAGGGTGTGTGTGAGGGTTGTATCATTTCATCATAGTTATTAAATATGTGTGCTGAGCAAATAATCTGAGAAGCTGGACTATATGAAGAAGAATGTGGCATCAGGATTGGAGGAAGACTCATTAACAAACTGCAACATGCAGATGACACAGCCTTGTTTGCTGAAAGTGAAGAAGACTTGAAGCACTTACTGATGAAGCTCAAAGGCTACAGCCTTCAGTACAGGTTATACCTCAACATAAAGCAAACCAAACCCAGTGCCACCAGGTTGATTCCTAGTCATAGTGACGTGATAGGATAGGGTAGAACTGCCCCATGAGGTTTTCAAGGCTGTAAAATCTTTACAAAAGCAGATTGCCTCATCTTTCTCCTACAGAGCAGCTTGTGGGTTTGAACTGTCAACCTTTTGATTAGCAGCCAAATATTTTAGCCACTGCATCACCAGAGTTCCTTACCTCGACATGAAGAAAACCTCACAACTGACAAATAAGCAACATCATGGTAAGTGGAGGAAAGACTGATTTGTCAAAGATTTCATTTTACTTGGATCCACAATTAATGCCCTTGGAAGCCGCAGTCAAGAAATCAAACAATGTATTGCACTGGACAAATCTGCTGCAAAAGACCTCTTTGAAATGTTAAAGATCAAATATGTCACTTTGAAGACTAAGCTGTGCCTGACCCAAGCCATGGTATTTTCAGTCACCTCATATGCATATGAAGGCTGGACAATGAATAAGGAAGACAGAAGAAAAAATTGATGCATTTGAATTACGGTGCTGGCGAAGGATATTGAATATACTGTGGACTACCAGAAAGATGAACAAATCTGTCCTGGAAGAAGAGATGGAATGCTCTTTAGAATGAAGGATGGTGAGAGTTTGTCTCTTGTACTTTGGTCATATTATCAGGAATGGCCAGTCCCTGGAGAAGGGTACCATGCTTGGTAAAGCAAAGGGTCAGTTTAGGAAGACCCTCATGACGTGGGTTGACACAGTGACTACCACAATAGGCTCAAGTATAGCAACAATCGTGAGGATGGCGCAGGACCAGGCAATGTTTCATTCTGTTGTACGCGGGGTCGCTATGAGTCAGAACTGACGTGATGGCACCTAGGAACAGCAACAAAGGAAGTCTGGTGGCCCCCAACAGCTACAATGGACTGCCAGAAGGAGGAACAAATCTGTCTTGGAAGAAGTCCAGCCAAAATGCTCCTTAGAAGTGAGGATGGCAAGGCTTCATCTCATGAACTATGGACACGTTATCAGAAGGGACCAGTCCCTGGAGAAGGACATCACGCTGTGTAAATTAAGGGTCAGCAAAAAAGAGGAAGACCCTTAAGGAGATGGACTGACACAGTAGCTCAATGGTGAGCTCAAACATAGCAATGAACATGAGGAAGGCGCAAGATGGGACTGTGTTTCATTCTGTCTGTGGATGATACCAGCTACATAACTCCTGTACACAGACCAGGAGGCTGCTGTTCAAACAGAACAAGGGGACACCGCATGGTTTAAAATCAAGAAGGGAGTAGGTCAGGGTTGTATCCTTTCACCATACTTACTCAATCTGTATGGTGAGCAAATAATCAGAGAAGCTGGACTCTGTGAAGAAGAACATGGCATCAAGATTGGAGGAAGGCTCGTTAACAACCTGCGATACGCTGAGGACACAACTTTGCTCACTGGAAGTGAGGATGACCTGAAGCACTTACTGATGAAGATTGAAGACTACAGTCTGCAGTATGGATTACACCTCAATATAAAGAAAACAAAAATCCTCACAACTGGACCAATAAGCAGCACCATGATAAATGGAGAAAAGACTGAAGTTGTCAACGACTTCATATCACTTGGTTCTACAATCAACACCAATGGAAGGAACAGTCAAGATATCAGATGAGGTATAGCATTGGGCCAATTTGCTGCAAAAGACCTCTTTCAAGTGCTGAATAGCAAAGATGTCTCCTTAAAGACTAACACCACCGTGACAACCCGGATAGAAGTGTAATCTAGGGCCTTGCCAAACAGGTTACCTTTGGGGAAACTGCTCAGAGTTGTGAGGAGCCTTCCAGTCAGAGCCAGACCGACAGGCACAGGTGTTCGCCAGGGGACCTTAGGTCCGGGTCACTCCAGTCCTGTAGCCAAGCTGTGTAAAGGAAATGAGCGTTTAGTTGGCGAGAGGATCCGGAGGCCGAGCTCTGTCCACTTAGGGTCTCCCTAGGTGCCGAGATTCCACTCGTTCCCACTCAAACCCCTTTCAGAAGCTCCCCCGCCTCCTCAAACTCAAGCTCTATGAAGCTGAGAAACTAGCAAGCTGGTAGCCGAAGGAATGCGCAGGCGTACTCGTCCAGGGACCTGGGCCTCCGCCCAGTGGGCGGTGTTTCCCTTGGGGGCGTGGCCATAGGCCTGTAGGGGCGGCACGCCGGCTGCTCGCGGGATGGGTCTCGTGGGATCTCCCGTGGGGTGTGATCCTGAGCAGCCTCGAGTGTGTGTGTGTGTGTGTGGGGGGGGCGGTGTCTTGGTCACTTAGAGGCTGGCAGGACTGGGCCCCCAACGTCGTGGTAGCGGGCCGACTAGTGTAGGCCGCGCGCCGGGCGCCCGGACGTTGGAGGGGTGTCACATCCGGCGAAGGGGGCGGGCCTCGTAGACCCCGGAAGTGTGGGCGACAGCTGTGGTTTAAGCAGTGGTGGCGGTGGCGACAGCGGCCCCAGCAGGTGAGCGGGGCTGGGGAGGGTCCTAGTTCGCTGCAGGCGGGCGGGACCGAGGACGAGGTGGGGGGTGGCGCTAGCAATGGCCGGTAGAGGCCGGTGATTGGGCGCAAAGGACGCGTGACAACACACCGAGAGGGGCCGGTACCGCTGCACCTCGGGGAGGGAGGGCAGCGCGGGGCGCACCGCCCCGGATCCCTCGCAGGTCGCATCTCCAGCCCCGCTTCTGCCCCTCTTCAGCCCCTCACCTCACTCTTGGGTTTCACTCTTAGGTCTCTTACTGGTTACTGTTCTGGGGCTTGTAGAGCTGGTTCGCCCATTGTACAGATGGGGAAAGTGAGGCCCAAGAATGGCATCTGATTTGCCAGAGGACACACGGAAGGCCGGTGGCAAAGCTGGGGTCGAAGACTCCGATTTTGACTCCCTGCCCGATGTGTACCCTTTTCGTTCCAGCCTGTCTGCTGGTCTATCCTCGTTCTCATTGTGGACCCAGACGTGCATTACCCAGCAACACTGGTCAGCCCTTACCCCTGGACCCTCAGTGTCCAAAGGGCAGTGGGCATATATACCCAGCACGAGACTGGCTCCTGTCAGCATTTCCTCTCACCAGTGGGTGAGGTGGTGCTTTGCCCTCTGTGTAAGTGGGGCAAGGAGTTCCCGCTGGGCACTGTGCTGGGGATTCGAAGGGAGTGGGCTCTTCGCCTCAGGGTGCCAGCCTCTAGCACACTCAGTGCTCTCAGTGTGCCTTGGCTGGGAGCACTCACTCTAGGAATGTCTGTCTTCAGCCCTGGAAAGTTTCCAGTCCCAGTTTCAGCTGTATCCCAGTGCTCTGGTTGCTGCCTCAGGCCTTTCCCACTTCCCCACTCCTTCACTGGCTCCATGCCTCTAATTCAGTAGCTCTTGTTTCCTGCTGATACACCCAGGATGCTGCCATCCAACTCTGAGAGCTGGAGGTGGCAGGGGCAGAGCGACTTGGGAAGGAAAAACTGGTTTCTTGAGCTGTTCTCCAAAGCTGCAACCCTGCACAGGCCGGAACCCTCTGCTTCTGGTTGGGAGTGAGGGCTGTGAGGCTGAAATCCTGGACTCTGAATTTTGAGAGTCTTGGTCATGGTGCCCAGAAAAGCTTTTTTCCTAGATTAGCTTGGAAATCTGGCTCTGTGCCTTTGCCCTTTCCATTAGGTAGAGAACATTCATTCTAGACTTCTTCTGAGCAGCTCAGGGGTGTTTTACAGGTAGCAATAGCTTGCATTCATTGCTTGGCTGTCATGGGCTGGGCACTGTCCTAGGGGGCTTTGTGAATGTACTGAATTCCCAGCACGCTTCCAGGTAGGTAGTGATACCATTTTTACAGATGAAGGGAGTGAGGTGTTAGGTAACCTGGCGAGAGTCGCAGAGCCAGTAGTAAGTGGCTGAGTTGGCATTTTTTTTTAACCATCTGGCCTCACTTCAAAGCTAATGAGCTTCCCAGTCTGTGATCCTGCCTCTCTGATGCCTTTACAACAGTTTTCCAAACTTGCTGGACCTTAAAAGTCATCTGTGATGTGTGTTAAAAGTATAGAGCCCCACCGCAGGAGAACCTGGTTCAAACCCTCTGGAGGGTATGGGAGATCTGTATTTTTAACAAGTGCACAGGGTGGTTCTTTTTTCTTTTTTTAATTTTTATTGTGATTTGGTTGAAAGTTTACAGGAAATTCATTTTCCATAAAGCAGTTCACATATACTTTGTTTCATGGCAAAAAACCCCACTGCCATGGAGTTGGAT